ACCAGTGCTTGCGATCTGACCGACTCGTTTTGTAATATCAACTACGACTCTTCTCAGAGTCACATGAGACACAATCTGACAATGAATAATTTATTCTTCACTAAAAATGCACGATGTACTATTAAAACATTCACAATATATTCAGCACCACTGACTAATGAAACTTGACAAGTTCTGAGTTAGGTCTTCATCGACGGAAATTTCATTTATCATTTGTTCGATACATTCTTGATTGAACGATGGAAAAATATCGTGTGGATCACGATTTTCATATATTTGATTCACTATTGCCACAAACAATTGACTTTGACGTATCCACGATGGTTGTATGGTGACATCATTCGTAGTTGAATGTATCAATGTAGAATTTTGACGTGGAACTTGCTTGGCAGATGACACACGAAATAAAAACGGTTTTCGTGGATGTACAATCTGGAAGAGAAGATAATTACAAGACATTCTACTGTTAACTATACTTCGACCAGTGAAGAATGTGTAATCTACTAGATCGACAGGTACCGAGATAAACGTCAAAGGGGATCTTCCACTGAGTGACAGTGCATCTATCTACACTACCTTTCTTCTGATATGACTGAAAGCTGTAGAGAAATGCTAACATAGTACTTACTTTTGCAAGTTTGATAATGGATCGTTTCTTGTAACGAATGTGCCAGAACTTCTTTGTTTCATATGATGTCCAGTTGTACGACAATCTTGAGTTTTCGAGATTTTTTTTAGATTTAATAGATGAACACGGAAAACAACTCATTATTAAAGATAATGTTGAAGACGAAATAAGAAAGATGTAAGAAGATAAGAAATGTTCCTTCCTATTTATATGCCCATGTTTCGATTAACGATGAAAGTAATCCGTTTGTGTTCTGTTTTTTGATTGAGAAATATTTAAATGCAATTGATTACAGAAAACATGAGATCAAAAAAACGTATAATCTATACAGAGTTGACGGATCAAATTTTATAAATTGAGTTAAATTCATAGAACGAAAAAAAAGGAAAGAAAAGCTGTGGATCAAATCAATTAGAGAAAATTAATCTGATTTTCTTTGTACTAGACATGTTACGCTTGCTATTAAAAAAAGTTAGAAAAAAATACTAGTTCTAAGAGCAAGGAACAATTTAATATGATAATTATTGCTTATGGCATACATTATTTGGGATCCGAAAAACGAAAAGACGTAAAAATATGTGGTAGTTACAGGTTAATATATGGCAGTACAAAGAGAATGTAACATTAAATGTCTTCCAAATTTGAAGAATATGGCAACACTTCCATTAAGTTCATCTATTATGACAGTGATATTACTCCATGTACATAGCAATTATTTGTCATTATTTCAATTATTGAAATATTATTTGATAATATAATATGAAAGATTTCACAAGCAGCGTGATTGAAAGAACTTTTGATTGACAAAGACTTTTAATGCAACGAGATTTTGTAAGATCTTGTATGATCCACTGGAGAAAGAAAAGTGTGACCGTAACTGTGTAAAAGTGCCGCGCAAATGTGAATTAGACTGGCATGTTTTTTTCTAGGTGTGTAAATTTTAAGACTGTTTCGCACACACGAAGCGTGTTTCTGGCACATGACACAATATGTTTCTAGATGCGCAAATGCGAATCAAAGTGATGTACAAGTTCAGTGTGTTATGGGCACGCTTTATTTTTTACAGTGTGCACGATGTTGTGATAAGATAGTATAAGAATTGACATCATTTTATAAGGTTTCATAAGAGCACACAAGATCTTAAGCGAAGGGTACTAAAGAGCCTGGTTGAGGATCTTCCATCAAAAAAATCATGTGAAAAAATGTTCTTGTCTGGTGTGGATAGGAACACGGGATCTTCAAACATAGGTTTGATAACGCGGGCTTTTCATATCTGGGTAGAGTATGCACTTCATTTGTGCTTAGTTGATGTGCGAAATAAATATCAACTAAGGAAATTCAAAATTTTCATTTATCGTGCTTAATGCTTCAATAAAAATGTTAAAGATAATTTATAAGAACAAAGTTGTACATCTATATGTTGTATATAGTAGAAAAATTTGTACTGCATGAATGAGGCATTTCTTACAAAAGAACTTAGACCATAATCATTTGAGGAATCGATACAGCGGCGATTACCTATAAATCGGTTGGTGGAGTATCTCTGGAAGTGTTTGTGAATATTGCTAAAAGCTATTGCATAAGTATAACTTTGATTTACGATGTTATTATTTTTATTAGATCAAATTTCATGTATTGTACCAAATGGATCTGTCGTATGTCCTTTCACGTACAAGGTGCCCGAAATTTGAATGAAAAGTAAAACTGTACTTCTCAACTTTCTTTATCAGAGTCCAACTTTTATGTAATAAAAAATCATATTCGGAATCAAAATCAGAAACTGAGTTGATTAATGGGTATTTCTATCGTATCCGACTACTTTAATTTTTTTCGAATTTTTGTATTGAAAAATTAGCAAGATTTTCACCGAAAAACGAAAGCTAACGAAAAATGTCAAAATACATATTAGTCGGCTCAGTTTTTGATCCTGATTCCGCATATGATATTTTTATTGCATAAAAGTCGGGTTTTGATAAAGAAAATTAAGAACTACGGGTATATTTCCGACTTTTTCTCCTCCGATTCAGAAAAAATGAATTTTCTCAGGAATGAAAACAAACGAAAAGCGATGCATACTTTTATGACTGGTAGTATGATGAATCGAATGAGATAAAATAATTGACATTATCTCTGACGCAAAAAAACCTGACCGGTTTACAAAATGCTTCATATTTTTTAACATTTCTGTACTCTTTTTTGACGCTGAATCTGAAAAACAATGTTTCAAAATCCGAAAAGAAGTACAAAGTGAAAAATTGTGTGTATTGTGAAAATAATGCGTTTTTTCGAAAAAATCGACCCTTCAAGTTTTTCAGATTTTTCGACCTAAAGAAACCATTGTCAAAATCTAAAAAGCGGTTTTTCTTTCACGAGCACGAAAGTATTGCATATAGATCAAAGTATACATTAGATGGGTGCGCGCACTTTAAATATAGACTAATTTAGTTGTTAAAACTAAAGTGTTAACAGCCAAAATGACTAATTAACCTAATTATTTAATCTGATATATTTCTATTGTATCGTCTTCTCAAATCATCAAAGAATTTCTTTTTTACATTATTGTTTGCTTTTTCTGTACCGTTGGCGTGTTCATTAGTTGGAGTTTCGTAGTCAATAGAATTGCTTTATTTGACGTTTTAATAACAGCAAGTTTTTCTTCCCTATGATAAGATGTACAGGAATCATCAAATTTTCCTGTTATATTTTCTGGATGTGATTTTTCATAATCTCTCAAAAAATTCCATAATAACATTAATGAATGTTGATCTTTTTGATATTTTATTGATAATTGAATAATTTCATGAATAATTGGCATCCATTTTAATTGATAACGATCCCAAGAAAATCCAAATGTAATTGCTTCTAATAAATTTTCTAATGTTAAACGATGAAATGAAATTTTTAAACTTTCCAAATGTGAATGTAATTGATTATTAAGTGTTGTCAATGATATATTAAGTTTATATTCAACGATATAGCCCACATAGGCATCATCTGAAAACCTTGTTTTTATACAATCATTCGGTGTTATAGATTTATTAATGTAATTGTGTAATTTAGTTAGTAGTACTTTAGAATAACAAACACCCGCACCATATGTAGCAAAACGAAACGTTTCGTTTTTACCAGGAATTTTAACAGGATGTCTACTTGTACGACCAATATAATACGGTTTTGAACTATTTAATTTATTTAAATAGGTATATAAATTATCTAAATTAACATAGTGATCATCATCAAATCGACACATCCAATCAAATTTAGCTCCTTTTTTTGTTAAATTGTAGTACAACTCAAATTCATTTGCCGTTTTACAACAAAGATCGAATATTTTATGACTTTGAGGACAATCCGTTAGAATAACATTTTTAAATTTATCATATGATGAATTTTTAATATATTGATCGGTTAATAGATATATATTATGTTTTTGTTGATTGTATTTTAATGATGGTATCCAACTTGTTAACAAATATTTTAGACGTGATTCACAATGATGTGATGTACGAATTAGGATGAGAAGACGATTGACTATAGGTGTATTGAATGTTGAAAATGATAACAATGATAATGATTGCTGATAATTTTGGATAAATAAATATAATTGTTTCAAATTAAAAGTGAATGATAGTATGCAACAAAGAATAATGAATAAGATAATAAAGAAATCACGTTTATAATGATAACGATTTTTCAAGCATCGTCGAATAGATCTAAATGATATTAAGTACATTCATACATAAAAATTGATGATTTATAATAATATCAATCTGAAAATGAGAATAAACAATATTTATAGATTAAATGAACTATTTTGAACTGAAAATAATTGACAATACTGTAGTCAATTTTTATGATTTTTCTATTAAACTTAAATATTGTTAATATGTATAGATGTCCAAGCATAAAAATTTATTTCGATAGTTATTTTATATTTAAAAATATGTTCCTTTAGACATATGTGTCTAGACTCTGGAACTAAGATCTAAAATTTTATATTTGTTTTATTTGATGAATTCTAATAACTACACCCTTGTTGATCTCGACTTAATATGCCTAAGAAATGAATACATTCAAATTATGAGAATAAAAAAGTCTATAAAATGCATGTAAAGAGTTTTTTTATTCTTTTTCGTATAGTCAAATGATTGATGTAATTATAACTTATCGTCTTTATTCCGATAAATATAGTACGATTTGAAACTCTATTCAAGAAAAGGGAGAGAGGGGAGAAGAAAAGAAAAAAAAATGTTTTTTTGTCACATTTTATTTTCTTGAACTAATGTAAATAAATTTTTATTGAAGATTTATTATTATTTCTATTTATCAGCACGAGCATATACATGAAAAAGAAATTAATCATTTTTAGATACTTTTAATCTTAAAACTCCGTTGTAGTCTAATAGTATCGTGCGTTTATCATGCTGTTTTTCAGTTGTACTCTGGGCGTCGAAAACGGTGTAATTAATTCTCTATTAAATGACCGTTAATAGCTAATGAAATAGACATTAAATGATCATTTTTACACCGTATAAATGGAAGCGTTTTAATGCCTTAAAATGGCAGTTTTTAACAGACCGAAAACTGTCTGAAAATAGGCAGTTAATAGCATCCTGTAATGGCCGTTTTTGCACCATTTCTGACTGTTAACGACCAACTATAGAACGTTTTCTTTGATTAATTTTTTCGATTAATACCCCAAATATAGGGATTTCCAAAATTTTTGACATTTTTGGTTCCTTAAATCCACGATGCCATCAATGGAATCAGATCAAGAACCAGTGGCAACTTCCACTAGACGAGTTTCGATGACTCGTACAATCGAGGAAGAGAAAAATTTGCAAATTTCTTTCAAATTTCAGTGACATACATATACCAGGTGCGCCAAAATGATTGCAACAGTCTTTATTTTGCATATATCTTAGTCTAGAAATATGGTAAAATTTTAATTTCTTTTTTAGAAGATGTGTCATTTTAATTCTCTACAAAAAACATATTGAACATTTTTCTACATATCTTAGAGAATAAGAGAATATGAAGGAAATACGATGAATATTCAATCTCGACGACTCTCTAGGTCAAAAGCATCGAGAAACAAATTTATTTTGAGCTCTGTGACATACATGAAAGTGGAATAAAATACATATCACCGGTACAAAAAAAAATAAAGTTGGTTTAGAGTTGCTGAAAAGTGATTTTTCGTATTCAGCACACTCGATAACCCAGAAGATTTTCTATTTTTGGCTCGGGGTACTTCCGAAAGTTTAAGAAAAATTTTGAAACA